TCAGATACTCTGGCAAATAGCCACGAGCGTATTTCTTTTTTTGAGACATGGACTCACAATATTTTGTTTGAAGCTGTAGGCACGTGCTCACTCTCACAAATCTAATTGCGTACTGACCAGTGCGACCGCAAAGAAAAGAGCCTGCGCTGTGTATCGTCGTCTGCGCATGCCTCTTGCGCATCGTGGATTAGGTTTGGGGTGGCGCCGGCTACCAGCTCTGCTTGTCTGTTACAGCTGGGTGGTGTGGGGGGAGATGCGCGAGCTATTCTGAGACGAGGCTCTTTTGTTTGCGGTCGCACTATAGCGCCATTTAATTTCACTTACATAACGTGAACTAAACTTATGCGCGGGCGATACAAATAGTATATTTTCAGAAATTTAAATTGTCATGGGGAATTTTATGAAAACCTAATGAAAATGTTTTTAAATAATGCTATGAAATTTTTTTAAAAAGTCAATTAAATTTTAAAAAAAAGGAAAGTGCTTCAGTATCAGACAAAAACCCTACTGCCCACCATGAAAGCTGGAACGCCCACTAGTGGGCAGTAGGGACCAGGTTGACTACCACTGTTCCATATCATGACATGGTCAGCACAATCAAACAACTTTCTATAATCAGTGAAGCACATATTGACTTTTGGGTGTTGTTGTTTTTTTTTGCTTTCTCAGTTATCCAATTAAGCATCAACAAGAATGTCTCTTGTTCCTTGGCCTTTTCTAAGATCAGTGTGAACATCTGGTATCTCCCACTCAGCAAGAGCTCTAATTTGCATTAGAAAAACTAAAAATGAAATTAGGATAATAAGGATATTACACAGTGGTTTGAATATTCTGTTAAGTTTCATTTTGTTGGTATAAGCTATGAAGGCTGACCTTTTCCAACCTGTTGTCCACATTCTCCAGATTTGCTGGCATAGTTTGATTAGGATGTTTACAAATTCTTCTTTTGATTGCCATATTTATTGCCATAATTAATTTTAGTAATGATTGGACTGCTAACTAAATCTTTAAATATCAGAGATTCTTGTGAATAGAAGATATATTCTAAGGTATCTTGGATACTAATATTTCTTCTGTACCAAATTTCAGTATACTCCTTTCACTTTGTGATCTCCTTAAATCAGTTACCATCTGTCCATTGACATTTTTTAGCATACAGGTTGTCCTCAAGTTATGAACAATGATTCAGTGACCATTCAGTTAAGGCACTGAATGAAGGAGACTTATGGTCAATCCATGAAGTTTGTTTGTTTGCTTACTTATTAAATTACATGCTTGATTATAAATACCCATCTTGCCGCTGTCATTGTGTCCCCATGATTATGTGATTGTGGTTCAAGTGCTTGGCAACAGACCTGCAGTTTCAAGTGTCCTGCAATTACAGTCACCATTTCCTAAAAGCAAAGTCAATGGAAAAGCCACAAGTTAGTTCCTCTGCTTTTTTACCCGTCCATGGCATCCATACACTTGCCCATGCTCCATAATGTCTGCTGCCTTGTCTTCTATTTTCTGCATTTTTTTGTTGTGTATCTATCATCGCCTGCTGAAACGCTTCCATTCTTTGGTCCATCTTAAGGATATCATTCTTCAAATCTTCATAATTTCTCTCTAAATCCTTTTTCATATCCATTCTACAATCCGCAATTGCCTGGAGTATGGCCTGTGTATCTTTTTGTTGAGCTTGTTGGGTTTCCTGCTGTAGAAATGTAGTAATAGATTTTTGGGGCACCGGACTCACCGAAGTTGAGGCAGGGGCTGAAGAACCCTTTTTCACCCCTTTTGCCAAATTTAGAGTACTCATCTTCAAATTATTATAATTGTAATTTGTAATCCAATAACAGGCCCGATGGCCACTTTATTTGTAATCCAACATGGAGGCCCACTGGCCGATTGTAATCCACCAAAATGTGCAAGAAGGCGAAAGAAGGATAAAAATAGTAGTCCAGTGCCCTCCTAGTATCAGGAGACAAGGCCAAAAATAATTTTTAAAAAATGAGAGAGAAAATTAAAAATCAAAAGAAGAAGTGAAAGTTATCCAAAAAAGAAAAATTATCGAGGAGCCCTAAAAAAAAGGAAAAAAGAAGATATGGACAAAGAAGCACCCAAAGTCTCTAAAAAGAGATTAAAAAAAAAAATAAGCCAGGAAAAAAAGAAAAAAACCAAGCCTACAAGGCAACAGTAACCAAATTTTAATCCAATTGCAGCTTTGCAAGATCTTCTTATTTAGTTTCCTTACAACAAGAAATTACAAGTCACAGATAGCAACAAACCAGACACCAGGCAAAAACAAAAGCAAAACCCCAAAGCTCTCTCTTGAAGGTCTCTAAAAGATAACAATGTCTGGGCACACAGCTAAGTGTCTGGGCATTGAGCCAAAACTTTGCAGCTGCGTATCCAAGGTCAGAAAAAAATAAATAACCACCAGGGGACACTGTTTCTTTCCCTGTTGTTTGAATAGGGAGAGGGAAAAAAAGTTTAAAAAGTGAAACAGCAAGCTAAAGTTCCGTAGCAAGGCAATTAAGCTGGCTTATTCCAGAAAAAAAGAATATATATCATAGAAATCTTGCTTTTCCGTCCATAATAAAATATAGTAAGATCTTCTACTTTAATTCCATTGAAAAAGAGTTCAAAAGTTTTATAATAAAGCTTAAACCGCCGCTTTAGGGGGGGGGAATTAAAAACCCCTTCTCCCTCCCTTAAGCTTCCAGCTTCAGCTCAAAAGCAGGCAATTTATTTCAAAAGGTCCAATTTGCCATAAATATTGAGGTTATCTCACCCGGAGCAGTTGCTTGTTCTCAATCAGCTGTCTTCTGTCTCCGACAAACAGCTGGTGATGGCGGTGATCGCAGAAGCACTCTGCCC